TATATATGTATAAAATGCTTATCTTATGGAGTTAATATATTGCTGTATAGTACATATATAGGCACTAACCAACAACAACAAAACGGAACACAATAGCACCAGATGATAAGCACTGCACTGAGAACCACAACGTTAGCAGTTCAAATCCACCTTCCACTGTGCCAGAGAAAGTTGAGGGTTTCTGCTCCTGCAAAGGTGTACAGTTTCAGAAATGCTATACAGGTTCACTGTGAGTTGGAACCAAATCAGTGACACTTAGTAACAACACTATATATATATGTGTGTGTGTATGTGTGTGTGTGTGTGTGTGTGTATATATATATATATATATATATGGTAATTTGAATATTTCATAATAACTTTTGTGATTTTTTTAAATTATAAATATAATTTTCACAAATAGAACAATTGGAAAATATAGACAAGGTTAAGGGAAAATATGGAGTCCTGGTGTGATTGATGTAAGATAAGCACTGTACTGTTAATAACAAGGTAGGCGGTTCAGATTTACCAACTGCTCCTTGGAAACTCTATACAGGGTCACTATGAGTCAGAACCAACTCAAGGACTCTTAACAACAACAAAGAAAAAAATTACAAAGTCATCACTCAGAAATAATATTTTTGTAGCCTTGTTTATAATGTTTATCTTATGGCTTTAGTGTATTACAGTAATGTGAATTTTTATTTCATTCTCTTCACTTAATATTTTGACAGAAGCATTGCATCATTGAAAATTCTATGGAATTATCTGGTAGCGATTCCATAATTTTTCTAAGTATTTCCTATTGTCTAAACTGTGAGATTTTTTTCAGAATTATAAGTTGGTTATTATTGTTAGGTGCCATCGAGTCAGTTCCAATTCATAGTGACTCTATGCACATTAGAACCATCCGCACAACTGTGGTTATATTTGAGCCCACTCTTGCTGCCACTGTGTCCGTCAGTCTCATTGGGGAGTCTTCCAATTTTTGCCGACCATCCACTTTTCCAAGCATGATGTCCTCTCCAGGGATGGTGCCTCCTGTCAATATGTCCAGAGTATGAGAGACTGCCTTATCACCGTCACTTCTAAGGAATAGTCTGCTTATACTGCTTCCAACATAGATTTGTTTCTTCTTTTGGCAGTTCCAGTGCATGTGCTTTTGATATTATTCTCCAACACCATGATTCAAATGTATCAATTCTTCTGTGGTTTACCTTATTTATTGTCCAACTTTCACATGCATATGAGGCAATTGAAAATCCCATGATTTGGGTCAGACACACCTTAGTCCACAAACTGGCACATTTACTCTTTAATACTTTCATGAGGTCTTTTGCAGCAAGGATAACCCTGCTTGTATTTAAAATGCCAGTGGCATAGCTTCCAGCATCACAACAACATACAAATCACTACACTACAGCAGACAGTGGTGGGATTATAAAATAGCAGGCAATAAACATCAATTCACAAAAATAGAGTTATTTTTGCTTCAAATTATTACCCCAGAATATATTCCTAATTGTAGAAGTGGAAAGTGAAAACACCTATTGCTGTAGAAGAACATGACCTCCGGATGGGAGGATGAGCCATTAACCTCCTGCAATAAACAAATGATACAACCTTGTTTGCTGAAAGCGAAGAGGACTTGAAATACTGATGAAGATCATAGATTACAGCCTTCAGTGTGGGTTGCATCTTAATGTAAAGAAAACAAAAATCTTAAAACTGGACCAATAAATAACATCATGATAAATGGAGAAAAGATGTCAAGGGCTCCATTTTGCCTGGATCCACAATAAATGCTCATGGAAGCAGCTGTCAAGAAATCAAATGAAAAACGGAGGCTCAGTAAGAAAGAGGAAGATCCCATCAAGCTGGACTGATGCACTAACAACAGCAATGGGCCCAAACGTTACCCTTGTGAAGATGGCACAGGATCACACCTTGTTTCAGTCTGTTGTACATAGAGTTGCTATGAGTTGGAATAAACTCCACAGCACTTACAAATAGCAGCAACATCAGGGGCAGTGATTGTTCATTGGTAGAATTCTTGCTTTCCATGCAGGAGAACTAGGTTTGATTTCTGGCAATGACCATCACTGGAGGCTTACATGTTGCTATGATGTTAAACAAGTTTTAGGGGAGCCTCGTGACTATAAAAGGTCTGATAATCTGATTTACTTCCACAGATCAGCCTATGAAAACCCTTTGGATCATAATACTCTAGTCACATTGTACATGGAGTTACCATAAGTTGATGGTCCACTTACTGGTGAGAAGTCACTGTGGATTAATGTACTGGACTGTAAAGTCAGTTTGAATCACAAGGTCGGCAGTTCAAGCTCACCAACCTCTCCTTGGAAACCCTATGCATAATCTCTATGGGTCGGAACCAACTAAATGGCGCTTAACAACAACAGTGTTTTCAACCAATAGAAACATCTAACTGTGACATCCCTGACTAAATGTGGAGTCATGATCATTTAAATCCCATTTGGGTCCCAGATAATGAACCCTTCACTCCCTGAGATGAAGTTCATTGTTCTCCAATTCAATTCAACAAGTGTCTTCTGTGTAGCAGGTACCATGTTAAGTGGGGGAAATATGGAGCTGAATGTATCATTTCCTCCATCCAGAACCCTGAAATCATATATTAAATATAATCAGTGTCAGAAGAGACACAAAATGGTATCTGTAGAAAACCTTCTTTTCTCTCTGTGTCTTCTGAAGAATAAAGGTAGGAAGAGCATGGAAAAAAAAAAAAAGAATTAAATGAAATATTTATTGCACTGGGTAAATTTACTGCAAAAAATGTCTTTAAAGTGTTCAAGAGCAAAGATGTCAGTTTGAGGACTAAGGTGTGTCTGACCCAAGTCATGGTATTTTCTAATGCCTCATACGCATGCAAAAATTGGACAATGAATAAAGAAAACTGGAGAAGAATCAATACATTTGAATTATGATGTTGTTGAAGAATTTTGGAAATACTGTGGGCTACCAGAAAGACAAACAAATAAATCTATCCTGGAACCAATACAACCATAATGTCCCATAGAAGCAAGGATGGTAAGACTTTGTGTCTCATACTTTGTACATATTATCAGGTGGGCCCAGTCCCTGGAGAAGAGCATCATGTTTGGTAAAGTTGATTGAGGGTCAGCAAAAAAAATGGGAAGACCTCCATCAAGATTGACTTTCACAGTAGCAGTAACAATGGGCTCCAAGATGACCACATATTAATGATGGCACAGGACCAGATAGAGTTCTCTTGTGCACAAGGTTGTTAAAAGTTGAAACCAACTTGAGTGAATCTAACCACAGAGTTCCTGAATTGCTTTCCAAAATACTTGCCCGTTGTATACTTTAACAAAAATCCTTACACATTATGAATAATTTAGATTTTTTAAATCAACTTTAAAACTACAACACTCACTGCCATCAAGTTGATATCCTATTCATAGTGACCCTATATAGGGCATCTTAGACTGTAAATCTGTACAGGAGCAGACAGCCTGCTCTTTCTCCCATGGAGTGGCTGGTGGCTTTGAACTGCTTACTTTGAGGTTAGCAGTCTGGTATTTATTTTACAGGGCTCCAAATAAACTTTATGCATGTATAAGTTAATACAATTATATACCTATTTAAGTATGCTGTTGTAAGGATCCCACATAAGTATACAGCTGGTGAAAATGCTCCCACACTCAAGATATAGAATATCTCCAACACTTCAAGAAGTTGCCTTGTGTCTCTTTGAAGTTTATCCTCTACACTTGTGATTTCTGTGACTATATATCAGATGCATCCTTTCACAAAAATTCAAATGAACATCTTCCAAAATTATTGAAGCTTTGCAACAAGTTTACCAAAATGGTAAACTTTTAGATGGAAAACAACCACTTTTAGATGGATCTGAGTTTTCAGGAAGACCTCAAAGATGAGCCACGATAGGGAAGACCATCAGCCTCCATGAATGAAGAAACTGTAGCTGATGTCTGGAAACTGGTGGAAGACGTCAGTGGACTCTCCACTGATATCATAGCTACTGAAGCTGAGCTTTCTCATGGTTCCGCATTTTCGGTTTTAAGGCAACATCTTGGTCTCTGCAGGTTTTGAGCTTAATGGGTGCCAAAAGCATTACACAGATGTGAGCTGGTTCAA